TTTTCACTTGAGCTAATTCTCCTGTATCCTATGCTGTGCCTCCAAATTAAATGCTTTCCTGAACTCCTGCCTGTTTGAGTTCACCTTTACCTTCTATATATCTTATCTATTATACCACATCTTCCATAGTCATTTTCCTGTGATCAGAGTGAGAGAAGGTATCTCTCACACGATCATTGGTTTTCATTGCCAAAGGGATTAATGTGTCATGCTTCCTTGAAGGCTGTGCTGCCCCAGAAGTTACCCCTTTTCAGATTACAAAGGAATTGTCAAGTATGAGGTGGCAAGGGTCATTTGAAGGTTATGACTTCAGCATGTCAGAATTAGAAAACTTTTCTAATAAGAAACAAAAACAACTACAAAAAATCTTATCCATTTTATTGTCGTAGTCTTAACCATTGTATGTGATTTTCTTGACTCCTTGATGAGTAAACTGGGAACTGCCCTTATCCTCCAGGGATTTATAAACTCAGAGGTAGCAACTGTATCTTAGAAAGTAAAATTTAAACAGCAGTCACAGGGCCATTTGGCAACAGTCTATGGAGCAAGCCAGTGGGAAACAAACAATTGCTAACCCAACTAGGATTGTGAGAAGTAAGGAAACTGTCCTTTGCTGTTGACTTTCCTTTGCCATTGGCAACCTTTTAATGGAAGAATAGGAAAACTTAAAGCTCCCTATTAGAATTTAAAATTTAGCCTTATAGGAAAAAGAAAAAGAAATCTGATGAAAAAAAATTTTTGCAGGGGAGACAAGATCTCACTATGTAGTTCAGGCTGGCCTTGAACTCACTATGTAGCCCAGGCTGGCCTCAAACTCATGACAGTCCTGCCTTAGCCTCCCAAGTGATCACTATGTACCAGGCTGGCCTCAAACTCATGACAGTCCTGCCTTAGCCTCCCAAGTGCTAAGATTACAGGTGTGTGCCACGATGCCTAGTTGAAAAAAAAAAAAATCTTAACCAAAGAATTCCTTTGCTTGAAAAAAACTGACAAAAGCATCTAAGAGAATATATTAGCTTGTGTGTTTAAAAAGTCTACTGGATAAAATGCAGTTGGATCAGCCAGCTATGTTGCTGCATACCTATAATCCTCACATTCTAAGAGGCTGAGACAGGAGGATCACAAATTCAAGTTCAACCTAGGCAGCTTAGTGATTAAACAAGACTCTGTCTCAAAAAAAAAAAAATCTTTTTAGATGCAGTTGGATTGATTAGGGGGCTCAAAGAATGCCATCATATCTCTTCCTTTTTCTCCCTTGCTCTTTTGTCTTATCTCTTCTATGTTGGTCTCATTCTTGGATTGGATTTCTCCATATGATGGTCACTCTTGTACTCAGGGTTTTGCAAGGGAAATAGATTTAATACAGGACACATAATTTATAGAATTACTTTATGATATTTACCCAAAAAGTCAAATGTGGAAGAGTGCAAGAGATTAGTTGCACATTAGAGGCCCAAAGGGCCTGGATCCCACAACAGGGTCCCACACAAGGGCAGCTGAAGGTTTACACTCCAAGCAGCATCCTCCAAGAGTCCAGCCAGTGGCCTACAGCCCACGGCAGTGTCTCATTCTTGTCCTTATTGAGGATCTGCACCCAGGAGGATCTGCACCCAGAAGTCTCCCAGGCCAGTGATAGAAACCAGAAACCCTACACTGGTGAGATGAAGAATTTGTGCCACCAGGCTGAGGGGGTCTACATTGGAGCCAGGAAATGATGCTCACAGTGAGGATCAGCGCTTCCCTGAGGAGAACAGCAGCCACTCCCAGCGATAGCGAGGCCCTGAGCTCCTCCAAAGAGAACAGCCAAGTTCATATCAGGAAAACCATCTGCAGCAAGCTTCTCCTAGAAAATGAACAGCCCACAATCTTCCCCACCAGTTCTCTTTTTATGGCTATTGGTAATAATCGTCAGGTGGATCTTCCACACCCAGACCACACTGATTCAGTTCAGCTGGGCGTTACAAGCTGACCATTAGTTAATGCACCTCAGCCACTAACAGCTCCAAGTTAATTTCAAACAGGATATAAAAAACAACAAAAAAAACAAAACAGAACTTATCTTTCCCAGAATGAGTCTTGCTCATTCCTGAATCAATCATTGTGGTGGGGAGGGAGAGTGAGCCCACTGAAGCCACATAGGCCGAGAGTGGAGAAGCCAGCTTTCCCAATGGAACACCAGGGAGCTGCTGCCTGTATACAATACCTTCTGCGCACAGTCGCATGTCTGTGCACTCCAGGGAGGATATGAGCAGCTCATTTGGTCAGGGTAGTATGAGCATAGAAGTAAATAACTATTTTCTGCTAAATACCAAAGAGAGAAAATAGGAGTAAACAACAGGAGAGGCTTTAATAATATATAAATTTGGAAAAGTTAGATATAGATCAAACTTTTATAGAGCATGCCCATTTTCCCACTGTTTTCAGTTGCAAAGCACAACTGTATTCCTAAACGGAAACGAATGCACCAGATCTTTGAGTTGGGAACTTCTGATAAAAAAGTGCTTATGATAGTTGTAGCTCTGATATACACCAGGCCTTGTAATACATCAGTGATGCATACCTGCCGGAATTGCACCTACCAATTCACTTTTATTTTGGGCTCTTAGGACTTGAAAGGTGGCTAGGCATGGTGGTACAGGTTGGGAAGAATTTGGAAGTGTTTCCTTTTGCTCCTCTCCTGAACCAGGGATCAAACTCAGGACCTTGCTCTTGCCAAGCAGGTGCAGCACCACTGAGCTAAATCCCCAGTCCCCTTTTGCTCCTTTAATAAACACTCCCTTTATTTTTTTTTTAGACAGGATTTTGCTAAATTGCCCAGGTTAGGGTCAAACTTGCAATCTTCCTGCCTCGGCCTCCCAGAGTCTGAAATTCTAGGCATGCACTGTCATACCTTGCTTCATTCACTTTTTTGTTAAGCCACAGGTTTTTTTCCTGTGGTAGAATGTTGTCTAACTCCACCTTGAATCTCCAAGGACTTCCCCATCACTTTATACAGTAGAGCAAACTACAGTGACTAGTGTCACATTTTGCCAACTGGGAACTGTGTAATTCAAGTTTTGCCACAGCCTGAAAGTCTTAAGAGCAAAACTTCTCCTCCTGTAAAATTGGAGCCCACATGCGAGGCAGTATGGGTTTAGGACACATGCAGAGACTTCTTTGAAAACAAAGAAAAGGTGGGGGTGGGGAGGTCAGAAAAGAAGATGGGTAGACAGGTGCCACCTCAGCAGGTGCACAGCCTCCACAGCTCATCAGAGGTGCAGTAGAAAGACAGTGTGCATGATTTATAAGGGTGGAATCTGTTCCTATACCACAGAAAACAGTGTATAGATAAATGTTGCCTGCAAGGCTGTCTGCTTAGATAGGAGAATGGTAAACTCAGATGAAAAATAATTACAGATTTCTCAGCATTTATATTTCTGCATCCCCATCCTTCCTGAATTCCTGAAATTTACATCTAGACTCTATTTTTGAGCTCTTTTTACTCATTCACTCATTGAATCATTTAACAAATAGTACCTGACTGCCTACTAAGTACTGGCACTATTCTAGGCATGGGGGATATAGCAAGAAACAGCAAAATCCTTGACGTTGTGGAGTTGACATTCCACAGAGGAGAGCAGACGATAAATAAGGAAATGCATGACCTGTCAGGTAATATGTGCTAAGAAGAAAATGAAGCAGGGTGAGAGTGATAAAAAGTAGTAGAGGAAAGGTAATTGCTGCTTTATACCTTTATAAATATGATGTGTGAGCAGAGATAGAAGTCTGGGAGCAAATTGTAAGGCTTCCGGGAAAAGGAGCTACTGAGGCAGATGGTAGCAAAGAGAGAGGTGGCCAGAGGCCTGAGGTCAGTGAAGGTTGGAGAATGTGATCCAAGAGGTGGTCAGAGAGTGAATGCAGGTACTGTGGGGCTGGGGGCTACTCCTGCTTAGGGGAGAAGGAAACCATAGGGTTCGGACAGAAGAATGAGGGGGCCTGATTTATGCTTTAAATTGTTTCAGCTGCAATAAGGGAGAAAGGGGTAAGAAGCAGTGAGACCATTTAGGGGATTTTTGAAAAAATCCTGACCAGACCCCAGGGACCACAGGTAAAGATGAGACACATTCTCATCCTAGAAATACTTTGAAAACCCCATTTCCTTCTTTAATCTTTTTCTTTTTCCTCAATGTTCTCTGGAATGATATAACCTTGTACCCTTGGATAGTATATAACTTGTACATAATAGTATATAACTTGTATGTAACTATGGAGATGAGGGGGGCTTTGTTATGGTTCTGAATGAGGTCAAGTCTTCCCTCTTCCCATCCCTGCAAGGATGGTTCAGTATGGGTGGGTTCAGGTATAATAACACTCTTGTGGGTTACATATGAAGAGGGCCTTGGCATGGATGGGAGAAAGGGTTCTAGGAAGGGGGACTCCAAGGCAGGATCTTCCCTGTTTCCGTTGATCCAGGAACTCAGCCATACACTAAGGTCTAATAGTCATTGTACCCAGAATGCTCTGAAAATTTTTGCTTGTTGTCCTTATCATTGATAGCTTATAAAGAATAATGTCACTGGAGTGGAGAACCAAGCAGGCAAAGGCAAGAAACACTACTGTACTTCTATTATAGGCTTATATGTTGGCAGGGACAGTACAATGTTCAAACCTTAGCATCTCAGAATCAGGAGAATCCCTAGTGGTCACCTGCTGCTGAAGGAATCTCTGCCATGATATGTAATCGTCTAGCCTCTGCCTTAAGCATCCATAACCCACAGATTATAGAAGGTCAGTGCTGTAAGGAACCTTTAAGGGTGGGCTGGGACTAGGCAAATCCAGGTGTCTGATCTCCCAGACCCATCTTCTTTCCACTCACTATATTGTCTCTGAGTAAAGAGCAGCCCTTGCTAGTAGAATTACACATAAAGTTAAATGTGTCTGTGTTTATCCCATCTCAGGATACTTGGGTTTATTTGCCTTTCACACAGTAATGAATCCTTTCTTTTGATTTTGAACCCTAGGAGTTGCCCTGCTCTCAGATGTGTACCCTGAGAAAATCTTGGTTGGCCTATTGACTCAATATGACAGCGGCAAAGACAAGCACACACCCGAGACCAGAATGAAAGTAGGGGAAGTCCTGATTCGAATTGTCAGGGCATTAGGTGAGTTTTCTTGTTTTATCCATCTGGAACAGGTGGAGAAGTGGCTTTGAAACCAGCATCTGTGTACTGAAAGGTTTGTTATAGACTAGCAAGTGAGTGCAGGTCAGGGACTGAGATAAACTAGTCCCTGTTTGAGGATTTGCACATGTCCAGCAAACATGCCCACTAAAAGAATGTCAGCAATAACAACCTCTTTCCTACAGCTGCCTACTCTCCTTCCCAGGGAGCTCTGTTGGGTTCCAATTCTTAGTGGAATGAGAAACAGAAGCTTCACACTTTTTGAGCAGAAATAAATATAACAAGGAGGAAAATGTCCATCAGGGAAGGAGGAATACAAACTCTTGTTGAATGTCTACTGTGTGCCAAGTTGGCAAGCTGTGTAAGCTCATGTAACTTCCCCAACAAATCCTATGGATAAAGAAACTGTGGTGGCTCAGACACCTTCAGCAGTTTATCCAAGACTCGTTCAGCTGGCAAGTGGTGGTGCTAAGAATTGAACCACAGAAAAAGGAGAGGAAGCCAGGCATGGTGGCACATGCTTATAATTCCAGCACTTAGGAGAGTTGGGAGGCTGAGGCAGAAGGGTCACCATGAATTTGAGGCCTGCACGGGCTACATAGTGAGCTCAAGGCTAGCCTGAACTATATAGTGAAAAGTGAAACTGTCTCAAAAAAAAAAAACTTGCAAGAGGTTACTCTAGGCCAGTGACAGCAAACCTTTTAGAGACTGAGTGCCCAAATTGCAACTGAAAACTCACTTATTTATGGCAAAGACAGCACTGCAATTGAACCTGAGTACTGACTTTTTAGTTTGTTTATTTATTTATTTATTTACTTATTTATTTTGGGTTGTTTTGGAGACGGGGTCTCGCGATGTAGTTGGGACTGACCTGGAACTCACTATGTAGCCTAGGCTGGTCTCAAACTCACAGCAATCCTCCTGCCTCAGTCTCCCAAGTGCTGGGATTACAGGCATGCACCATCACGCCTGACTTTTTAGTTTAGAAGATCCAGCTGTTATCTGAGGTTTGGCTGCTGGGGCAACTTGGCTCACATGCCAACAGAGAGGGCTCACCCCTACCCTAGGCTGTACTCATGAACTGCCTGGATTCAAATACTGAGCTGCTTCTTATTGTTTGTGTGATACTGGAAATGTTTCTTGATTTCTTGGTGTCTCAGTGTCCTCATATATAAAAAAAAGATATTAATAGTACCTACTCATAGGGTTAACAAGGTAGGAGTAGGAAAATAAAATCAAAGAAAACAGTTGTTCGTTCTAAAGATAAAGATTAAATTAAGATGAACTAATGGGGCTGGGGATTTAGCTCAGTGGTTCCGGCACCTGCCTCACAAGAGCAAGGACCTGATTTTGATCCCAGGTACCAAAAAAAAAAAAAGATGAACTAACGAATGTCTCCATAAGCCAGCAGGTACAGTTTAGATATATTTATACTGACCTGTATAACATGGAATTGAAAAAAAAAAAAAGCATTTCTTTAATTTGTATTTTCTAGATTTAACCATTGACTGACACATTGAATATTGCTGTAAGCCTTACAATGAGGCAAACCTATCTTGAAGGTGATGACCAGTGTGTACATTATTCAGTATGCTGAATTGTGAAAATTAGGTCCTGTTTGGAGTCTGTCCTCTCATGCCTGACCTGTTTTAGATTGTGTTATGAAGTTTAGCCACCAGTGGCTAATATTTTGGCTTGAAAACAGTACCATGCTGGGCCGAGGATTTAGCTCAGTGGTTCCAGCGCCTGCCTCAAAGCACAAGGGCCTGAGTTCTATCCCCGGTAACAACAATAACAACAACAACAACAACAATAAAAAACAGTACCATGCTGAACTGGATTTCTTTCCTTACATAAGATCAGCATTTTTCAGGCACTGATACATTTGTCCTTGGCTTTGTGTAGTAATTCCATCATATCTCCACTCATATGTTAACTAAGGCAGAAAGGGAAGAAGTGACCTCAACTGCAATTTGGCTGATTTGTCTACGAGCTTTAGTAAAACCTGCAAATTTAAGCTAGTAGGGAAAGATTTAGGGGAACAAGCAGGTCTTTTGCCACTTATAGCAAGCAGTCATATTGAATTCTGTCTTCATTATTTCAAAGGATTTACAAAGAGTCCATATAACCATGCACTGTTCATATAGACATAGCCCTTAATTTCCCTAATTTCTGGATCCCTGTTCTGGCTAAGGATGATAGAACCTAAAACTCCAACTACATAAATCCTTTTAGCAGTAAAACAAGAATCTCACAAAAGTGAAATTTAAAAATATAATTCATCCCATAAATATGTACTATTTTTATTTGTCAGCTAAAAAAAATAATTTTTTTTGCTGTACTTAAAAGAGATGAACTTTCATTTTCTTGCCTTAGTACTGAATTTGGTTCTAAAACATACCAGACAAGTACCATTATAAGAAAGTATCCTCAGCCGGGCGTAGTTGCACACACCAGTAATCCCAGTATTCTGGAAGGCTGAGGCAGGAAGAGTCCAAGTTTGAGCCCAGCATGGGCAATTTAGCTACTTAGTAAGACCCTGTATGAAGATGAAAAATGAAAAGGATTAGGGACGTAGTTCAGTGCAAGGGTCCTAGGTTTAATCTCCTGACCCCGCCCCCCGCCAAGTCTTCTCATAGTAGGTATGAATGTTCAGCTTACAGGATCACAGAATTGAGTGTAATTGCTGACTTCTATTTGTGGGATCGGGGTGGTCAGGTTGAAAAGGAATTCCAACCATGCAGAGATAGCATCAACATTACATGTATTTTCTCTGTAACCTCTGGTGATACTCTACCATTGGGGTAATGAACACTGGAAGTGTACATTTCTCAGTCTGCATTGGGCAGTCCAGGAAATGTCCAGGGGTGACCAGCAGGAGTGGGCATGAGCGTTCGTTCTGTTGAATGGGACAAAGGTTTTACTCCTCTCCATTTCAAAGCAAATTCTATCAGTCTCAAAGTTCTAATCTTTTTGTTAGTTTACCCATCAAAGTATCTAGCATTAAACATAGCCTTACCTTTAATGGGTAGCTTCTGATTCACATTACAGGTAGAACAACCCTACTCTGAAAATCTAAAATCAGAAATGCTCCAAATCTGAAGCTTTTTGAGCACTTAAAATGATGCCACTAGTGGAAAATTCCATTGCACGAAACTTTGTTTCATTCAAAAAAATTTTTGCCGCCTGTGGTAATCACACACCTGTAATACCAGCACTTGGAGGCTGAGGCAGGAGGGTTGCTGTGAGTTCGAAGCCAGCCTGGGATATATAGTCATTTCAAGGCCAGAATGAATTACATAGTAAGACATCTCAAAAATACAAACAAATTATTGAAAATACTATATAAAGTTACATTTAGGCTATATATATATATATATATATATATAAAGGTATATATGAAATACACATGAATTTTGTCTTCAGACTTGGGAACCATTCCCCAAATATCTCATATGTATAATCAGATATTCTAAACTCTGAAACACATTTGTCCTAAGCATGTCAGGTAAGGAATAGTCAATCTGTACCATCTTAGCTAGATGCCATAGATGAGATGATTTGTTGAAACCCTTTAAGCAAAATGAAGCCCATTTTTACAACATGGCTAATATTCATAGTTTGCTTGCGTTACGGAAATCCCGTGAACGGCCCCTTTGTAGGGCTTCCCTACAGTGACTCTAGCTCCACGTCCCAGGATTTGCTGTCTTTCTACCCTCACTGCTTCAGTAGTGAGAGGTTGGGGGAAAGGACCACAAATAGGGCCCAGGGGTCTTCTTCTTGGCCTGCTTCTAGTTCCCTAACCATACCTTCTTGCCTTCTTGCACTAGTTGATGGTGGAACAGCAGCAGGAGGGTTTTTTTGTTTTGTTTTGTTTCTAAAAATTGAGGTATTACGAATGTAAAGTTTACAAAGTACACTAATTTTAAGAGTCTAGCCTTACAGTTCTTGACACTTTTACCACCACCCAGATCAGAAACTTGTGGTGACCTTTTGTTCCTCTCTAGTCTCTACCTGCCCTAGAGCTAAGCTCTTTTGTGTTTTTTTGGGGGGTAGGGGTACAAGGGATTGAACCTAGGACCTTGCACTTTCAAGGCAGGCTGGCAGGCATGGTGCCACTGAGCTAAATCCCTGGCCCTGCATTTTAATGGATTTAAACTTCAATGTTTGGGTAGCTTTGGGTGAGATTTTAGGGAGCAAGAACACTTCCCAGTGTTGTAGTACTTCCCATTGTAGGGTGTACTACATCGCCTGCATCAGTAGGATGCGATGTCTGATTATCTCACTTTTAGTGGTGTTAGATGTGTCAAGGTGTTTCCAGTGGGATCCATTCTTTAACCTTCATCTTAATGCTTTTAAGTAACCAGGCAAAATCCTTGATTAGATCTATTATTTCACTGAGGTTATATTTTTTACAGGTTAGGAAACTAAATGTAGAAAGGTTTACTAGCTTGCCTGATGTTGCAGAACTAATGAATGATGGATCCAGAATACTACCCCAGTCAGTCTGACTCCAGACCATTCTCTACTCCAGTAAACAATATTCCATCCTTAATATGTTTTCTGTGTCTTTAAGCATCTTTTTTCCTGTCATTAACATGGGCATTTTTCACATCCTCTATAATTTTACTTAAAAAAAAAAAATTTGTACCGGGAATCGAACTCAGGACCTTATTTATATTTGCAAGGCAGGCAGCAGTACTACTGAGCTAAACCCCCAGCTACTCTATAATTTTAATGACTGTGTGATAGTTGTCATTTGAATATATCATAATTTTTTTTAACTAACCAACTTATGTTTCAATTTTTTAATGTTATGAATTACATTGAAATGAATATTCTTGTAGCTAAATCTTTATGTAGATCCATGACAGTTCCTTAGGAAAAATGTCTAAAAGTAGTACATATTTGTTACTGTTGCTGGGAGGATAGCTCAGTGGTAGAGGACTTGGAATCTCCAGCACTGGAGGGTGGGAGAGGGG